CCCAGGCAGGGAAGGTAATTTGCTTAAGGTCATACAACTAGTCATAGATCTGTCAAGGACTTATTTTTTCCTGATTCCTGGTGGCTTAGCCACCTTAGCTCCTTTCCAGATAGTCATCAGTGAATGGTAGTACCTTAGAAGATGGAGATGGAGTATCTAACAAATGTGACATCCGACACCTTCATCAAACAATCGACAATGTATTGAGTGCCTAACATGTACCTGAAAGCATATTAAGTACTGAAGGTAGAAAGAGGAATACCAAAAAAAAAAAAAAAAAAGTGGAGGAGAACTAGACATACAATAATTAAACAATATAATAAATGCTATTAAAGAAGTGTGTATGAGGTACTATGGGAGCTTGAGAGAAGGACGGCCTCGCAACAGAAATGTCGTTGGAACCAGGTTATTTGGCCTTTGCCAAAAGCATAGAGCTAGAAATGCATTCCAAGTCGAGGAATGAGCATGTGCAAAGGCACAGTGGCTCTTAAAAGATCAGCAAGGATAAGAAGATACTCTAGGCAGAGGGCCTAAAGAAAATTAGGCAGAGGGCCTTAAGAAGTAGCCTCAAGACTTTCTGTATTGAAAACTTTCATTGGAATGTTGGGATGAATTCTAAGTACAACAGATACAGTTTGATCAAGGGCTCAAACGGTGTAACCAGGATGATTTTTTCTCTGTCTTCGTTTCTCTGCTTCTTTAACCCCATTCTCAGGCTCCCTGTGGGTATAGGATGGCTGGTCCCCACTAGCTTAAATGAAAATTCTGGATTAGAGTCTTTTTAGTACCAACTGACCTCTAAGTTAATGTCCCATCTTGGAAATAATCACCATGACCAAGGGAAAGGAATCCACTGCTCAGGGCTTCCCATGTGGGGAAGGATGCTTCCAGACAAACAAGCGATGCTTTTGCCACAAGAAGGGGATTGCAGATCCCGGATGGCAAAACCTGTAAACATCTGCTGAGTGGGAGCATTTAAGGCAGAGGTGAAATCTTGGTTGCTTTGAAGATTTATGTTTTCCACCATATTGCCTCAATATTTAAATAATCTAAAATTCTGAATAAAAGATTTGAAATATTCCATCCCTAGTTTCTAACTTAAGGGGAAATTTTTAAAAATGAATATGGCTTAATGTAAGACTTCGCTCATCAGTTTCAAACTGCCGTAGGGAGAAAAGTGAGTTGCGCATTAATATTGCTTTCATGTACTCATTTGAATACCATTTTTTTAAAAAAATAGGTAAAAATGTTCAGCGTTTGTGAAGAGTTAGTTGCATATGAGGGCTGGAATTAATGTTAAAATAGAAATATTCAATTTCCATCATAAAGGACCATTGGAAAATGATTGACACAAACTTGCTTGTGTAGAACTCACAAGTGTTTATACCCTTACATTGGTTATTTTAAGTTTGAAATGTTCGCACTTTCTCTCATTTGGCAGTGAAGTAATTACTCTTACATAGTGACATTTCCATCTGTTACCATGTAAATTTACTACTGAATTCACAGAGAGAGGGCTCAGGATTAGAGATGTAGATATTAATGATGTCTTGGTTAAGACAGCAGCAAATCAAATATATGAAAATGTGCTTGATATGAGTAAGATATTTACTGCTGTTAAATATAATTGGATACATGTACTTAGATGATGTATTCAAAGGAAAATAAAATTAAATTGCCTTACATGGTTTGTCATTTTTTCAATTAAAATAAATTCCTCCAGTAACAGTGAAACTTTGTTGACCTGGAACTCTTAGAGAATGAATCCTTCTGGATAGGAGAATTCCCTATAGCTAATTTCCAAATACTCGATCACTTTTTTCCGGCGGTGTAAATATTGCTCTAAAATATAGTTCGTATTTCTTCACCTTCTTAAGTAGAGCAAGTTGAAAATAAGTCCACTTTTTCTTGATGATTCAGATCTTTACAATCATCGTTTACTGTACTGTGCAGTAGGGTTGTTTGTCCCTGTGAAAAAGTCATAAAGTGCTTTGAGATCTTGTGTACGTGTTACATCCTTTTTAACCTACCTCTCTCTAGTTCCTGTCACTTTTTGTTCCTGGGTTTATAGCAGCGTCTTCTAAATGCCGAAGATTTTGAAAGCATATTACCATTCCTTTTTACGTTGTGTATAAAAATAGGAGTACATACACTCCAAATACATTGACTCATAGTGGTCCTGGTTCATAGAGGCATAATGAACTCTAATTGGTTGAATGGATGTTGTAGTATTTAGAAAGTTGTCAAACATACTCTCTTCCATAATCTTCTGAGGAAGAGCTATTCGAAAAGAGAGAAATTCAAGCTGAATGGCATTTGCCAAAGATAATTATAAAGTCTTAAAATTTAAGAACTTGAAGGTACCTCAATAAAAATATATGTCAGGCTCTAAATCTTCTACAACCAACCCTTCTCTGGCAAAGGTCCATGCCATTTGCTGCCACATCAAAAAGAGAAACACAGCTGTCGGTGGACTCCCTTCCTTCCTTCTGCTAATAATTTTGTCTTTATACCTCCTCAAGCTGCTGTATCTTTGTTGAACTAAAGGCTTCAAGGAAATAAAAAGTACTCCCTCACAACTGAAGGTTGGCCAAACCCATGCTATTCAAATATGATAAAGTCCTGCCTATCTAGTATCTTTTTAATCTAAAACTAAGATTATTCTTTAAATATTTCTCTAATATAAATCTTCACTTGTCTCCTTCTTTCATTCCTCTTGCAGTTCCCCAAATCTCAGGCAATCAGACTGATTGGGTATTTCGTAATGGGAATGTAGTACTCCCACATTCCTCCCTCCCACCCCCCAGTATTTTTCTAAAACCCTCATTTGAAAATACTTATAGAGTCATGTACTAAACAGCTACCTCTTGAGGTCTGGACAAAGTTGCAAAGCAAGCTGACTTTCTTTGGCGCCTTATATATAAAGCTCTTTTGTACTCTGGCCACTGGCTTAGCTTTTACATTTTCTCCTATAAAAATGTTGGTGTGCTATATCATATTGTCATAAAAAAGATTGATTGGGCTTTGGAGTTAAATCAGTCCATATTCAACCCATTATAGTAGCCTTCCCTGCCCTACCCAATTATAACTGTTGGGAATGTGTCCAAATACTATGAAAAGAGAAGCAAAATTGTCTACCTTTTATCATGATAAACCTCGCATTTTGCTTGTAGACCTTTGCTAGGTTTGATTGATTGATAGAGATGGACAGCTCAGGTGGTCAAATACAGGCCTTGCTATTATATTTTTAGTGTCTTTTAAATTCAGAGTCCAGTTTTAAAGTAAATTCCAATATAGTCGGAAGGCCAGGGACAGCAGTGAAGGGATCTCGTCTTAAAAGCAAGACCATGGGAGATGATAATTATGCGGTTCAGATGACTGAAATGAAAGTGTGAGTGGAAGTTACTCTGCACTACTCTGGACCAGCGTCTCTTCGACTCTGGCGTCTCTGAGATGGTAGAATGAGCAACGGCAGATGAGTTTTATCTGCAGTCACCCCACATTGTTCAGATGTTATAATGTATATTATTAAAGCAATTATCCAACTTTATTTCGTGTTGTTCTTATTCCCTCTTTTTAAAGTAGTTTTTTTTTTTATTTTTTAATAGCCTCTCATACTCACCAGGATCTAAGCAAGGCTGTTGTCTGCACTTAACAAGCTAGCTCTAAAATCAGTTAGTTGAGCTGATGTAAATTTCTTAGAGGTTACTAAAAGGTAGTTTCTTCTCAAAGTGGAACTTCCCGAAGGACTGGTATATAATTTGACAATCTGACACTATGGGATGGCAGGAACTTCATCTCATCCCTTAGGTACCAAGGCTACTGTCTTAGATTTTTCTGAAATTCAAAAACCCTGTGTGTGTGTGTGTGTGTGTGTGTGTGTGTGTGTGTGTGTGTGGTTTTTTCCTTATTATAAATGTATTCTGCATACATTATAAGCAGTTAAAAATATATACAGGTATATAAGGAAAAGATGCGAACGTACCTGTCCTCTTCATCCCACTTCCCAAAAGAAACCACTGTAAACTGATTTACTTTTGTGAATATACAGAATGTGTACATCTATGTCTGTAAAAATATATACATGTAATTTCTTAAACAAAAACATCATAGTACACTTATTATTCTTCATTGTTTTTAGTTAACTATACATTGTGAACATCTTTCCATGACAGTACGTCTAGTTTTTCTGTATCCCATTCCATTGGATGATGGATTTCCCTATTTCCTTATTGACGGACTTAAGTTGTTTCTAATCTTTTTTTGTGCAGCTGGAAGTGTTATGGTGAGCATCCTCGTATATATCATTGCCTACATGTTTAGGAAGGTCTATAGAATAGTTTTCTAGAATTTATATTGTTAGTTCAAAGGGTATGCACTTTTAAATGTTGTCAAATGACCTTCCAAACAATAAGAACAGATTTATAAGCCTGCTACCAGCATATGGGGGTTCATTTTTCCTACGTCTTCAACAGCATAGTGACTGTTTATGATCCAGAGGACATGAGTTGTAAATAATCTCAAAATTATTTTATATGATCTTTGATTTACGGCTTCTGCAAATAGCCTTCAAAAATAGGTGCTTTTAGTATTTTCCTTTTATTGCCTCAAACCTGTTCAGATATGGAATGTGCTATCAAGACAAGACAATCCTTTTTAATTATTACAGATGAAATATCTTTTAAGGAGTTTACTTTTATCATTCGTTGCCAAATACTTCTCTTCTTGAATATTTCTTATATGACTGCTCAAGTCAGAATATTCACTTCAAGAGCTTGCTATTTCAAGTTGGAGTTCACAGGACAGCTATTGCACCTGTCATTCTCTTTGCTGAAATTTACGCTTGATCACTATCACAAATACCCCTTGAGTTTACTGAGCACCTAACACTGATTATAAGGGTGACTGAACAATAATTCAAAGCATATTAAAAGAAACTTTATTAATCCAAATAAATATTAATGAAATCCGAGCTTTATTTATTGCTTGCTTGCTTGCAGGTGGATTCACCGATGAACTTGAAGCATCCCCATGACTTAGTCATATTAATGAGACAAGAAACAACAGTTAACTACCTCAAAGAATTGGAGGTGAGGCAACTGGGCGTGGATGCAGCTGAAACTTGTCACATTTCACAGGAGTCGTTGTGTTCAAAGAAAAATTAAAGCATATTATTTCTTAAGCCTGATTCTTCTGACTTTTAGAGGAATGTACTACTTTTAGATCATATTTTTTTTTTTTAAAAAAAGTGTAATTAGAGTGACATTTGAGCAACTGGAAGAGAAACAGACTATCCAAGCCTGAATTTTATGCCTGATTCTTGACTCACTATGTCCTTGAACAGAGTTTCCATCTTTAAGTTTTTCCATCAAGTATGAAGAGGAATACTTTCTGAGGATTCTTGGAAGGAGAGTTTGGGTAAAACATGAAAAGGAAGAATGGTTTTACTACCCTGTAAAAGTGTAATATGAGGGGCTGGCCCGGTGGCATAGTGGTTAAGCTCACATGCTCTGCTTCGGTAGCCTGGGGTTCACAGGTTCGGATCCCAAGCACAGATCTACACAGCATTTGTCAAGGCATGCTTTGGCAGTGTCCCACACACAAAGCGGAGGAAGAGTGGCATGGATGTTGGCTCAGGGACAATCTTCCTCACCAAAAAAAAAGAAGAAAGAAAGAAATGTTGTTAATTCCCAAGTAGTAAAAACTAGGGTCTTGCTACTGTGTGCTCCTGTTATTGAAGTGAAAAGTATTAACCACTTTGCACCTTGGAAACTTGACATTTATTAGTGCTAATAAAATCTGACCTTTTTTTCTATCTTTGATTTCCATAAACTGATTTTGCTTCATAGCAAACAATATTAATTATTTAAAAAACTAGGGCTTTTTCCCCCCTCATATCTCTGCTTAAATGTTACAGTGTAAACTGAATCCAAATTTTAAGGGAATGATAAGTTGTAGAAAAAGTAAGTCAATTTGCAAAATGAGATTTAGAAAATTTGGGGGAATAATGAGAATAATAAGAGTGGAATGAGAGTCTGTGGGAGATAGAAGGAATCATAAAGATTATCTTCATTTTAGAGCCAAGGAAACAATTAGATCCAAAGACAGCAAATTGCCTGATTTCACACAGGAAGTTATGGCGGAACCAGAGGCAAACGCCCTGTCTCTTGGTTTAGGAGCTGGCATACCTCTTAACGCAAGTAGCCAGTCATTTTCTAGTTATGTAAAAATCCAAAATTTCACTTATGTAAATTCAAACTGGTACATCTATCAACAGAAATAGTTATGATTATATGTATTTTTAATTTCTGGGAGTTAAGAAGGAAGAGCTTTTCACACATATTAACCAGCTGTGCATAGGTAGTAGTATTTTTAGAATATTTGTAAAACTTGAACACCTCACCAATTTTTTCAGTAGTGCCTCACCTTATTCATACCAGTTTTATGCCTTAGAAATTTTGAAATGTTGATTTTTATGAATACTAGGAATAAGACAATGGGTATGTTTGTAGGGTTTCATGTTTGGAAGCTTGATCTGTTTTTATTTAAAAACAGTGTTCAGAAAGAGGCAGTGGTGCAGAAAATAGTTTTTATTTTCAGATGCATAGAGACATTGTATCTGTTTATTGGTGTCTCTTTTTTTAGGAGGCAGTATAATATATTATAAAGAGAAGGAGACTTAAATTATAGGACATGTAGGGAAAATGCCATTCATCAAGTCGGTGAAAATCCAAATGAAAAAGGATGACTCCATCAATTTTTGGTTAAGATAGTGTAATGAGTTCATATTTAGTACACCCCTTCTGCTTCATATACACACCAATGACAGATAAAATACAAAATAAACACCAAAATTAAATGTAGCCAGGCCTAAAGCAACTTAAACATCTCCATGGACCATAAATGGAACAGAAACACTAAGTCAGGAATGTAGCTGAAGCTACAAACCTGCTGCTCTCTGAGCCAGGAGCAGGCTGTGGTGTCTGGTAGTTCAGCTCGGTGGAGTAAAGGGAACTGACAATTTTCCACGCAAGATAAAGGGAGAGAACCAGGCTTACTGCCTGAAGACTGGGATGGAGCATTCTCTTCATGAAAAGCGTCTGCGAGGGGAAAGAAGTCAGGGAGACAGAACAACCTGATGACCAAGAAAGGACCTGAACCATCCAATGGATCAATAATTGCATCTTCAGTTTCCTGAATATCATTTCAGGGCAGAATATCACTTTGGAGTAGAAACTCCAAACCAAAATGATAAGATCTGATTGTGGACTTGGGAACTAGATAGAATCTGGAAGCAACCACAAAACTACTAGACACAGGAGATGATGATGGAGTGGTTGGGAAGAGACAGATAGACGGACAGAGATGGAGAAGGGTGAAGGATGACACCAGGGTTTTTGACCCAAGCAATTGAAAGGATGGAGATGACATCTACTGAGACAGAGAAGACTGAAGGAGGTAATGGATTGAGGAGGAGTTCAGCTTTGGTAGGTTAAGTTTGAGAGTCGTATTGGACATCCAAGTGGAGACATCAAGTCGGGGGTTGCTTCTTCAAGTGCAGACTCTGGTATAAAGGCTTTGAGCTGGAGATGCAAATTTGTTATTCACTGACGTGTAGACTTAAAGCCCTGAGAGCAGATAATACAATTTATCTACAAGGTAGTGACAACTAGATGGAGTTAGATACCGGAAGACAATGGAGGAATAGCCTCGGAGTGCTAAGGGAAAATCAATCAAACTAGGATTTTATATTCTTTTAAACCATCATTCAAGAGTGAGGGCAAAGCAAAGGTGTTTTCTCACATACAAAGACAGTTTACTAACCACAGGCTCTCACTTAAAAAAAAATTAAAGATGTACTTCTGCAGGAAGAAAAGTAAACCCAGTAGAAGTGCATAGGATGTATAATGGGGAGTAAAAATACCGATGAAAAAGTTGGTAAGTCTATTTGTTTATTTTTTGTGTTTTAAGAGGTATAACTAGATAAAATTAATAATATGTAGTTGCGTTGGGGCACATTCAGTGATTAGTTAAAGCACATTAGACTTTTGTCATGTTCAGAAAAAGGTAAAAGTAGCTGAATAAATTAAAATTGTGTGGGAAAATTTATGGGCAAACATTAAAAATTTAAGAATAATGGCACCTTCCAAGTAGTCTTACCGAAGGAAATATGAATCTAATCAAACCACAATATAATTTGTTTTCAATGTAATTGGTTTCCCTTGTCATTCTGTATGTTTTATCTATATACTTAAAAGATTGTTCTGAGAAGGGCGTTTGTAGGCTTCATCAGACTGCTAAAGAAGTCCATGACAAAAGAGGTTTGAACCCCTGGATCCTGCTGTCAGAATGCAGGAAATACAGAGGACAGAGGAACACATTGAATGAACTTAGGAGATGCCCTCAGCAAAATCCTGTAGAGTGGCAAACTCTACAGGACAAAAAACCCAATTTCTTTAACAAGTAAATTACAAAGATTAAAAAAAAAAAGGAACTAAAGGATAACCAGTAGATTAGAAGGGACGTAAGAGACAAATTAGCCAACTACGGTGTGTGTGGACCTCACTGGATTTTGATACCAACAAACTGCGTTTTAAAAAGTAGGAGGAAATGATTGGGAATTAGAACACAGACTGGATATTTGGTATTAGGGAATTATTATTTTTTACATGTGATAATGGTGTTGTGGTTTTATTTTTTGAAAGAGTTTCTTTCAGAAACACTGAAATATTTACTGATGAAAAACATAACCAAAAATAAAGGAAGCACAAGCACTAAAATAATAGAAATGCAATCTAGTTTCCAAACCTACAAATAAAGAGAAGATACAAGAAGAAGGGAGGGAATGTACAAAGTGTTACCAAGCACATGGCAGGCAAGAAAAGAGACAAAAGCAGCAAAGAAAAAGAATGATAAATAGAAAACCCAAAGTAACATGGTTCAAGTAAATCCAAATAGGTCAGGAATCACAATAAATATAAACAGATTAAACTTGCTGATTAAAAAACTCAGATCAGATTTCTTATTTAGTCCAGCTATATGGTGCATGCAAGAAATAAGTCTAACACAAAATCAGTGTGGTGACAAATGGATAGAAAAAGTCTTTACTATGGAAATACTAAGCAAAAGAAAATTGATATGGCAGTATTTATACAAGTCTACAGTCTCTCACCTGAAATCGTTGAGGCTATATGTAATTAGAATATAGCCTTTTACTTTCTTCTGTTCTTATTGTTTTAGAAATGTTATAGGTGCAGATATCTTGTATTACATTCGACTGCCAACAGGATCGGGTCTCAAACTCCATAATCAGATACACGAATATTTCTTGAGTGAGATATATAAATGTTCAGACTAAGAGGATAAAGACTATAAAATGGCTTTTCATCAAATTTTGCCATCACATGAATTTTAGTGCAAAATTTAAGGAAAAAACTCTAGGTTTTCAGAATTTTAGATTTTATAATCCTAAAGGATGATAAGCCTGTCTCAGACAAAATAAGAATGTAAGATCATTAGTAGAGATAAAGGGAGATACTCCATGTTAACAATCTACCAAAGGGATATAATATTACATGCTTGTCTCAAAGGTATGTGTATGTTTATATCAAAACAGCAAAAGCTGACAGAATTACATGAAAAATCCATAATCAGAGTAGGAGACTTTAACAGATCTTTATCAGAAACTGATAAATCCAACAGAAATATTATAAGATATAGGAAAAAATTATACTTAATCTGACAGCGAGAGAGGAGGGAAAGAGAGCAAGCGTGTGCTCCACATTGAACAAATAGAGTTTAAAGTGTTTTCAAAAGTGAAACATTTATCATAAATAGTCACTACCGGGATAAAAAGAAAATAAATTACAAAGTTTTGTTGTCATGCATAACATATTCTCTGATCACAGTACAATTAAAGCTAAAATATAAATAAGATACACATGCCCGGCGGGGGAAAGGAGGAAAAACTCAAGTATTTGAAAATTTTACATTCTCAAATTACCCATGGTTTAAAGAAGAAATCCCAAACTTTTCAAACTGAACTATGGTGAGAGTACCTCATTCCAGAGTTTGTAGAATGAAGCTTAGATATACGTAGAGGCAAATTTATATACAAAGGCATTTATTACAATAAAAGAAGAGAAAAGAAAGGAGCTAAATATTCATCTCAGGTTAGAAAACGATAAAATAAACTTAATGATTAAAATAAACTTAGTGAACGTGAAGGAAAAGAATGAACATAAAGAAGGAACATAAAGAAAAAAAGAGAAAAGACAGAATAAAGATTTATTAGTGATGATAAAGCAGATATAGATTTTTATAAACTAAAGAGATTGTTATTAATACTATAAAAACTTCATGCCAGTGAATTTGAAAACTTAAGTGTAATGTGCAGAGTTCTAGAAAAATATGAAGTGTCAAAATTGAATAAACAGGGGAAAGGATAAACTCTTTATAAATGATATTAGAAAATTGATTGTCCATGTGGAAAAACATTAATTAGATTCTTACTTTTCAATACACAAAAACCATTTTCTATACACTTTAAAAATCTAAATGTCTTTATCTGTTATAACAAAACACCACATCCTGGGTAACTTATGAACAATAGAAATTTATTTCTCATCGTTCTGGAGGCTGGAAAGTCTCAGATCAGAGCACCAGCGTGGTTGCCTTCTGGTGGGGGCTCTCTTCCTGGTTCATAGCTGACGCCGTCTCTCAACGTCCTACACAGGGGAAGGGAAGGGAGCTTTCTAGAGCCTTTTTTGTAAGAGCACTAATCCCATTCATGAGGGCACTGTCCTCATGGCCTGAGCACCTCTCAAAAGCCCCAACTCCTAATGCCATCCCCTTTGGGGGTTAGGATTTCAACATGTAAATTTGGGGGGATACAAACATTCAGACCATAGCACTAAATATGAAAAGTAAAACTTTAAAACTTAAAAAAAATAGGAGAATATATTGATATATTTATGACATCGGGATAGAGAAGGAATTCTTAAATACCACGGAAATCTCAAACAATTAAGAAAACAATTGATAAAGTTGCCCATCTTAAATTTAAAAGTTTCTCTTTAGCAAGTGATACCATGAGCAAAATTAAAAGATAAGCTACAAGCTGGGAGAAGATATTAGCAATGTGTGTAACTGATACAGAATAAGTTTACAGAATTACTGTTTTCATAAATTTCTATAAATCAATTAAAATACTGGGAAAAAATGGGCAGACTTGGACAGTCAATTCGCAAAATATTTCATAAACGTGAAAATGTGTTCCGTCTCATCAACGATTGCAGTGTTTGAGATAGTCTACATTTTGTTGCCGTGTATATCAACTTTTACATGGGCAACAAACAGTCCCAGAGACTCAGTGCTGTTGTCACGAAGGACGATGGAGGCTCAAGGAAGAACAACCAGTAAGCCAGTCTAAAGTTTCCACTCAGAACTTACATACGTCATCTCTACTCACATTCCAGTGGCCAGAGCAAGTCCCATGGCCAAGCCTGAAGTCAGTAGGCAGTGTAGTATAATCTACCCACAGGAAAAGAGTGCAGAGGAAACCAATAATTGGAAACAGATCATTTAGTAACATCCCAATAATCTTAATGGCTTAAAACAATAAGGTCATACTAAATGTCACTCTAATCCTTATGCTGGGACCCAAGCTGACAGGGCAGCCACTGTCCGGAAAATTGCCATTCTCAATACAAGAGGGAAAAGAAAGAACATGATGAAGTATACCTTGGCCCTAAAAATGCTCCCCTCCAGAAGAGTCAAATGGCACTTCTCGTGTTAAATTGGCCAAAGCAACTCATATTGGCCCTGTCTGAGTCCAACAGAACAGTGGTGTAGACTCCTCTTGTAAGGAGGGTAGCAAATTCGTCAATAGTAAAGCAGTCTACCCTAATAATTACAGCAAGAGAAGATTTCATATCCATCAGACTGACGTGAATTAGAAAGCATGACAAAACCAAATATTGGTAAGTTTGTGGGGATATGGATATTATTATAATCTGTTGGTAGAATTCTAGTTGTTATAACTACTTTGAAGAGCAGATTGACAGTGTCTAAATAAAACTGAAAATGTGCATCCCATATGACCTCATATTTTTACCCCTGCTGGAACTTTGACACTTGTGCACAAGGAGACTTATAAGAATATTGTAGCATTTTTAATAGCAAAACAAAATTTTAACAATCTAAAGGTTTATAGGAAAATGAATAAATTTTTATACATCCATTAAAATGAAAACTTTAGAGCTATACCAACCAATGCAGATAAATCTCAAAAACATAATATTAAGTTAAAAAAAACAAAATTGTAGAATGATACATGCAGTATGATATTTGTATAAAATTTTAAAACTTGCGAACTAATGCTCCATGTTGATTTTGGATATACATAAAGTAATATTTTAAGAGAGTAGGAGTAATACAGTAATATTTTATAAAAGTATACATGGAAATGATGCATAAAACAAATTCAGGATCGTGGTAACTTTGGGAAGGGAGAGAAGGATTTCCAAGACTGTAAAGAAGGGCTTCAACTACATTTTTTTTTCCTTTTAAAAATATCTGAAGTGAATATGGCAAAATGTTGTGATATGATAGGTACGGGTGAGATATGGGTGGTGGAAATATGGGTGCTTCTGTAATTCCTCTGTGTGTTTGAACAAAAAATTATGAGTAGCAGGAATTCACCTGGAACACAGGGCGTTAGGAGAAGTTATTCCAGGTAGCAGACAACGTGCTGGATGTCTCCAAGGACCAAAATACAATGTGTTTGGACAATTGAAGGCAGTGTCAATTGCTGAGCCATTCTATGCCGGGGAATTAAGTTGATAGATGCAGCTTTATAGGCAGTCAGAGATCATATTATGAAGGCACTCATGCCAGTATTATAAATGTCATGTTCTGTTTGTTTCTGTATATGGACACCTGTTTAGAGAAGCTAATTTGTGTCAACTAAGTTAACTGAGGCTGTATTCAGAATCCTTGTCTTCCTTCGAGGGGATTCGCTGACTTCTTTAACACATTGAATTCTTTCTCATACGTAGTATCTAGACTGAAATATTAGAAAAATCCTCTGTGTTTATATTTTCTTCTCACCAGAAACAATTAGTTGCTCAAAAAATTCACATAGAAGAAAATGAGGACAGAGATACAGGACTGGAACAAAGACATAACAAAGAGGATCCAGACTGCATCAAAGCCAAGGTGCCCTTGGGGGACCTGGATCTGTATGACGGCACGTACATAACTCTGGAGAGCAAGGACATCAGGTAAGGAGAGCCTCTTCCCAAAGGAAAATGACGGTTTCCTGAACAGACCTTTCTCAAATCAAGAAGAAATTATTTTTCTAATGAGAATAAGCTTTAATCACAGATGGGTTTATTGAAACTTGAAAGTTCAAAATACATACCACAAGTAGAATTCTTGGAAAGCTATTGAAAATATTTAATACCACAGTAGAAAATTGGACAACTTATAGTAAAAGAAATACAAATGGCCAATAAATGTGGAAAAAGTATTTCTCAGGAATGATCAAATAAGTACAAATTAAAACATTTAGATTGTTTTCATCTATCAAATTGGAAAAAACATTTAAAAATCAGTAACTGGTAAAAATGTGGAGAGAACGTCAACAGAAGTTTAATATTTATAAAAAGAATTCAGCAGTGTTATATTAGCTTTTAAAAAGTCCACAATCTTAACATCCTGTGACCTACCTACTATATTCTAACTCTTGATTTATCTCCTTTAAGTTGAACTCCTAAAATATTTGACTCTGACAGTAGCTATGTGAAAAGGTATGAATGTTGACTAATATTGGTTGTAAAGTTTTGATGCTTTGAGAATACGGTTCAGTTAGGGAAAGAATTTGACATTTCTTTCCCTTGCATTCATTCATTGCTTCTTGCTTCGTGATTTTAGCCCTGAAGATTATATAGACACGGAATCTCCTGTTCCTCCAGACCCAGAGCAACCTGATTGTACTAAAATTCTAGAACTTCCCTATAGTATACATGCTTTTCAGCACTTGCGAGTAAGTAAAGAGATTTGGGATTTTTTTTTTTTTTGCATTATTTCTTTAATTTAGACTCTTGCTTATAAAAACTCTTTCTCCTTCCAAAGAGCTTTATAATTTTATAAACATCTCCTATTTCTTAAAATTCCTTCAAAATAAATGCTACAAGATGCCATAATACTTGTGCTCTTTTGGGTCTTACAATCTCCTTTTCCTGTTTTTTATCAATTTTTTCTTCTCTTCAGGGTGTACAAGAGAGAGTTAATCTTTCTGCACCTCTATTACCCAAAGAAGACCCAATCTTCACATATTTATCTAAACGATTAGGAAGGAGTCTAGATGACATAGGCCACCTCATCCATGAAGGGCTACAGAAGGTAAGCCATCAGTGACTTAAGGAGGCAGGAAACTCTGTGTGAACAAATGTTCTCCTCTCAGAAAATACCTGCCTAGCTTGCTTTTGTCAAGAGAGTGATTTTAACTTATGAGTACATTCATATGAACTGTATGCTTCAAGTAGGGAGAAATGTTGATAGCCCAGTCTTCTTTACCAGGAAGGGATGCTGAAAAGCTTTATTTAAACTAATTCATGAAAAAACAAATTGTAGCCTATAGAAGCAGCAGGGCTTATAGGCTAGATTATATATTTTGAGTGTGAAAGAAAATTTAACATTAGTGTGTTCGATATATCTACACGCAAAATACATAGATGATCGCTGTTCTCTGAACCAAAAAAAGAATCACCACCAACAATAAAATCTTGTAATTTTCTTTTAAGGGAACATCTACCTGCAAAAATGAAAAAGGGAATTAGGCAACAGGACCCAAGAATTTAAATATATCATTCAGGATAACCTGGAATTTAGAAAACGATTTTTGCTCTTCTCTATGCCTAGGGAATTTCATAAAATGCAGGCTGGTGTCTAAGCAGTATGATAGTGATATTAAGTAAAATGTATAATTGTAACATTTATATACAGTTTATCCAAATACATATTTATATGTTTATTCAAATACATTATGTATTTTATGTATGATTATTTTTGTAGCTAAGTTACCATCTTTGTCTTGTTTTTCTGAAGGTAATGTAAAATATTGCACCCCCAGAACTTCATGAGTATTAAGGGGAAACTGACCTAGGATTTAAAATATCCTTGAGAGGATGGTTAGTTGAAAGTAGATCATAGTGGTAAGTGCTCTATAGAAAATTAAAATAGAGGGTAATTGGGCGGCTACTTTAGACTGGGCAGTTGGGGTTATCCTTTCTGGAAAGGTGACATTTAAGCTGGTATCTGAATGACAAGAAGGAACCAAATCAAGGAAGAAGATTCAAAGATCAAGGAAGAGCATTCTAGGCTGAGGCAAAGGCCTTGAAGCCTTAATGAGGTCGGTGGTATGTTATTCAGCTCAGGCTGCCATAACAAAATGCCACAGACGGGGCCCTAAACAACAGACATTGATTTCTCACAGCTCCGGAGGCTGGGAGGTCCAAGATCAAGGTGCTGGCTGATTCAGTTCCTGATGAGGGCTCTCTTCCTGGCTTGTAGACGGCTGCCTTCTCACTGTGTCCTCACATGGCCTCTTCTCTGTGTACAGGGAGAGAGAGAGAGAGAGATCTGGTGTTTCTTCCCCTTCTTATGAGGGCACTGGCCCTATTGGATGAGGGCCCCACCCTTACGACCTCATTTCACCTTTATCACCTCTTCACAGGCCCTTCTCCAAACACAGGCACATTGTGGGTTAGGGCTTCCACATACGAATTTAGTGGGGAGGGGACACACATTCAGTCTATAACAGATGGCATGTAATCAAATTCAGGTCAATATGGCTGGAGCCTGGTGAGCCAAGGGGAGGATGATAGGGAATGAAGCCGAAGAAGTAGGCCAGAGCCAGACTGTAAGGCTCTGACAGCCAGGGCTGGGACTTTGAATTTTATTCCAAGTGTGTTGAGAAGCTGGAGCAGAGGAATGACATAATTCGATTAATATTTTTAAAAGTACCCTCTTAAACTTATATGGAAAAATGAATGAAGGAGCCCACAACTGGAAATAGACCAGTTAAAAGACTATTGCCGTTGTTCAAGAGAGAAATGAAGGTGGTTTGAGTAGAATGGTTACCTATGGAAATGCACGGACTTAAACTGTTTCCAGAAATGTTTAGAAGTTTGGAAGCTGATGAATTAGCTCTGTGGTATGAGGACAAAAGAGAAATCAAGGATAATTCCTCAATTTTGGCTTGAGCAATTTGAAGCAGGAGCAGGGTCGGGGTGAGAGAAGAGACGATAGAGTTCTATTTTGGCCGTGTTAAATTTGAAATACCTGTATAAGTCTGGAATACAGAAGAGGTCAGAGCTGAGTGTGTAGATAGAGAATAATTGTTAAATAGGGAGTATTTTTAGCCGTGGGACTGGATATGGTCATTTGAAGGAGAGTGAAGTTTGAGAAGAGGCCACTGGGTCCTCTCACATTTCTCTCTCAAGCAGAGGGAGAAGGGCCAGCCGAAGAAACCAGAAGAATGTGATGTCCTAAGAATCAGGGGGAAAAGGTGTTCAAAAGAAGGAGAGAGTAATTAAACAGTGGCATCAAACGTTTCTAGATTTGGGGGGAGATTTTGTGGGAAGATTTTTCTTTAAAGATTTATTTTTCTCTTACTTCCAGTAGATTGTGATATGTAGAGTATTTTGTTTATCATGATGTTTTTAGTAGTTCATGTAGAATTTTTAATTGATCTTTTTGTCCCAATTCATGGTGTAAAGTTTGAAAATGAGAGGTAAAAATTAAAGCGTTTGTTGATTTGAAAGAAAACTTCTCAAAAGGCTATCAAAAAGGAGACGGAAGCCTAAGTCATAAGTCAGTAGTGAGAGAACGGCATATCCCTTAACCAACTACATATAGTGCTAAAAATCTTTAATTGCAGCCCTCAAAAATCATATCCTGTCCTGCAAGATAGAGTACTTAAAGATGAGTAACACAGAGTTATGCTTAGTTTGAATCTTAAAAATAACCATTTTTGAAATAATTAGTCCTTGTAAAAAATTCAGACTATATTACAAAAATCTATAAAAGAGAAAGTAAAAACCATAATTTAAAAACTCAGAGATAATTGCTGTTTTATAATCTTATGAATCTTTATTTTGACACATTTTTATAGTTAAAACAATTATTCCGATAGAATAAATTTTTAATAGTGGAATTGTGGGGGTCAAAGGTTAATCACATTTTTAAGGCTTTTTACATACTTTTTGTCAAATACTCCCCCAGAAATGCTGGACTAACCTGACATTTCTACACTTAATATCTGAGGTTAATATACAGTGTAACCAATAGTGAGTATTGGCAACTTTTTAACCTTTGCCGATTTGTAAAAGAAAAACTTATATCTTTTAAATTTCTATTTCTTTGTTGTTTTATATCATTTCATCTGCTACTTAGCCATTGTTTCATAACTTTAAATGTCTGTTCATATTCTTAGCCCGTGTTCTGTTGGTTGATTGTCTTTCTGTTTAGATGTTTTATGAGCTCTTTCTATATCAAAGATATTAAACGTTGGCTGTCATATACATCTTTCCCAGTTTATCTTAAACTTTATGACTTTTTTTCCTATGCTGAATTTGAAATTTCTGTACTTGGGTTTAAAATTACTGACGTTGGGTTTTTGACGTGGTCCAGTTTAGTGTTTTGACCTCCGTGTGGTTGAAATTCAGCATATGTTAAGGAATGAAAACTTCTAGCCACAAAAGGAGCAAACCTATCTGAAAATCTGTTTAACTTGACTAAATAATACACTGATTGCCGTATACTAAGGATGTAGTTTTTAGCAGTGTGAAGGTTTGAATTAGATTCTGAGCACAGGGTCCAGCCCAGTGGCGCAGTAGTTAAGTTTGTACATCCCACTTCAGCAGCCCTGGGGTTCATGGGTTCAGATCTCAGGCACAGACCTAACATCACTCGTCAAGCCATGCAGTGGCAGCATCCCACATACAAAATAGAGGAAGACTGGCACAGATGTTAGCTCAGCGACAACCTTCCTCAAGCAAAAAGAGGAAGATGGGCAACAGATGTTAGCTCAGGGCCAATCTTCCTCACACACACACAAAAAAGATTCTGAACACACATGAGGAAATGACAAGTAAAAATTCATGTTTCACAAAAGCATAAACCTGTTATTTGCTTATACATATACCTTCATTCAGATATTAAATGAACTGGAAACTTTGCAATGTGTTAATTTCAGGAATTTCACATTAGAGCAACTGGAGTTTCTAAACAGGTTAGGTCTTAACTTCTAAAGTCCTGAAATAGGATCCGACAAGTTATGGTCCCTTTCCCCCTTGGAATGATAGCCTGGAGTTGGACGGTCTCTCTAGGGAGCTCACACCTCAGTGCACTTGCTCAACTAGTGATCAGGAGGCTCTTGGACAGGAGTAGTTTATTTACACTGTGTTCTCTGCTTTATCACTGCTAGGACACGTTACTCTTCTTCATCTTCAATTTCAGAAGAGACAGAGTAGGAAAGATGCTCATCTTGAACATTCTAAGTTGAAGAAACTGTCCTGAGTTGTGTTTGATTGTCATCTTATTTGTTGACTTTCTAGAACTCTTCCTCGTGGGTACTGTATAACATGGCTTCATTTTACTGGAGAATAAAGAATGAGCCGTATCAGGTAGTGGAATGTGCCATGCGAGCACTTCACTTCTCTTCCAGGTAAGAGCCCTCCCCTGCTGGACCTCCCAGTCTTCCGCATAACTCAGGACCCTTCAAGAAGCAATACTTACAAAAACAAGAAGCAGCAGCGTTGTATTGTACTTACTCTGTCCTCCATCCCTGTTAGAGAAACTAGTCCCATCACAAAAAATGACAGATGTCAAAGAGTTCAAAGTGATCATAGCATAATATTCTTCTGATTTCTAGTAAAGAAAAAATACGTAATGTAGATGCTCTCTGATTCACTTGAATGCAAGGACCTTGAGTGGAGAAATTAGCATGAATTCAATTTTTCTTAAAGCAAATCTAAGTCCTAAATACATTTTAAAATCATAAAATGTCTGCCAGACCTTATTTTTGTGGCAAAATTTGTAGCCATCAGATTGAGTAAGAAACATTACAATTTTCTTAAATTATTTTCTCCATCATAAGTGTACTCAGAGTTATTTTCCTACGAGCAGTAACTTTGAATGTAATTTTCCCTTGTTGGATAGTTACACATAGTTGTGGAGTATGTGCGCCTTTCCTAACATCTAGTTACGTCTCTCCATCTCTTCCAGGCACAATAAAGACATTGCCCTGGTCAACCTGGCAAACGTTCTGCACAGAGCCCACTTCTCTGCTGATGCTGCGGTCGTGGTCCATGCAGCTCTGGACGACAGTGACTTCTTCACCAGCTATTACACTTTGGGAAATATATATGCAGTAAGTACAACTTTTGTTTTCCTGACCCAAACCAGTTCCAATTTTCTTTTTATTTTTCAATAAAAAATACCTTTTTTCCTTCCTCCTTTGGTCTGAACAAGGGAAAGGGGCTGGAAATGAAGAAATGAAGGGGAAAAAAGTCCTCAACACAATAATGTATTGTAATTGTCCTAGCCTCTTGACATAAAAGAAAAATAATTAAATTGATAGGAATATTAAATCTCTGCAGAGTACCCGTCTTAAGACAGCAAGACCTTCCAATTAAGCCATCTTACAGCATGCATTCATGTTGTGGAGATTTGGCCACTAATCAAAATAATGTCCACTCTCGAGTGGGAGATGGGTGTGATCTCATCAATCATTGGGGGTTTGGACAGATGTGACCGGGTCGTGGCTAACGTTTCTCCCCCTGTGTGTGTGTATGTGTGTGTGTTTGTTTTTCTCTCTTCAGATGCTTGGGGAGTACAACCACTCAGTGCTCTGTTATGACCATGCTTTGCAGGCCAAGCCTGGGTTTGAGCAAGCTATAAAGAGGAAGCATGCTGTCCTCTGTCAGCAAAAACTCGAGCAGAAATTGGAAGCTCAACATAGGTAATTGAGAGAAAAATTTCACAGGAGCACTAGCACCATAGAACCTGGGTTAGACCTGTGTAGGGTGATATCGGTCCATCAGTTCCTTAGAATTAAGAAAACACCTATTCTAAACCATTGTTACCTCGATAAGAAAGATAAAATTGAGGGAGGCCGGCCCACTGGCGTAGCTGTTAAGTTTGTGTGTTCTGCTTCAGCAGCCCAGGGTTCACCGGTTCAGATCCCGGGTGCAGACCCATCACCACTCATCAAGCCATGCTGTGGCAGGCATCCCACATATAAAGTAGAGGAAGATGGGCACAGATGTTAGCTCAGGGCCAGTCTTCCTCAGCAAAAGGAGGAGAATTGGCAGTGGATGTTAGCTTAGGGCTAATCTTCCTCAAAAAAAAAAATAAAATAAAATTGAGGCACCTGGAAAAAAAAGGGAAGAAAGAAAAACACCTCTTCACTACTGCTAGTCCTGTCCCTTTTCTCCAAATCCAGGAGGTTTAGCTCAATTCAGTGGTTGTCTGGAGGAATCTTTTTAATAACATGGATTGCAGGAACTGGAGAATGTTTGCAGTAAATGCTGTCGTGTAGATCTTTACAGTTTTGACCATCGATTAGTTTTATGAAGTCAGATGGAGGAGGTGCTGCCAGATACTCAGTAATTCTATTGATTATGTTTTTATTGCCATAGAATACACTGTCAGTAAAATCACTTGCAGGTGCTGTATTTGGTCTTTCTCCACTTTGGCTCCTAGAATTGGGCTATTGTTGTGTTAGTTAAGTGACATTCTTTACGTTAGTTAAGAGACATCATTTGACCCACCTTTTAATCAGATTTGGTTGAAAAATATAAATAATTATTTCATTCCATAAATAATAGGGCCAGTTAAGAAACTTCACATAACTCAGAAGCGAATTATTTATCTCGTATAGAATTAGCCTTGATCTTGGGAGTCTACTTTGATTATTAGACAATGAAATGGAGATTGGGAATTTACTATACTATTGTATTTGCTGTTTTTCCAATCTGTTTAAAGCATAGTGTAGTAAAAAGGCAAGAATGACAGCTCACCGTTTGTACCTGGCTTCTGTCACACCTGATCAGAATTTGCCCTGCCTGAGCTTCCAGCATCATGTTCTGAAGAATCAAATTGGTTCTTTCCTATAAAAACTATGCAGCTCCTAAATCTCCACATCACAGTGTAATCGGTAATAAGATTTTTGTGATTAAATATAATCAGGCAGTTGATTTATTGATATTAGATGGTAGAGAATATTTCTTTCTAAGCAAAGTTTCTGTGGTTTTTCCCCAAATGTATGCACCAAGGAATTAAAGTGTGAGAGCAACGTACTATGGCCCTCACTCTTAACCTTGTCACAGGCAGAATCAAAGGAAAAGGTGAAAAGGAGGATTCTAGGAAGGCTTTGAATATCAGTGGAACTAGCACACACTTTGTGAAGGGAAATAGAGTTGTTAAATACTTAAAGATTTAGAGTGTATTGTTATGTGTCTTTTTTGGCACCTGTGAAGTCCAACACACCATTTAACGTCAAGGTAGTTGTATTTACGGGAAGGATTTCACATCCATCTTTTTGCCCCCAAGTTTTTTTTTGTTTTTTGTTTTTAAAGATTTTATTTTTTTCCTTTTTCTCCCCAAAGCCCCCTGGTACATAGTTGTATATTCTTAGTTGTGGGTCCTTCTAGTTGTGGCATGTGGGACGCCGCCTCAGCGTGGTTTGATGAGCAGTGCCATGTCCGCGCCCAGGATTTGAACCAGCAAACACTGGGCCGCCTGCAGCGGAACGCGTGAACTTAACCACTCAGCCACGGGGCCGGCCCCTTTGCCCCCAAGTTTTAATAAAATGATAGCATTTATTTAGCCCCATCGTTCCAGAACCTGTGGTATACTGCTTGTATTTTAAAAGAAAAGAAGCTGGCAATTATTGCCGAGAACCTGTGTGTTTACGTGGGTTTAAAAATTCACAGTTTTAAAGCTTTGTAACTTTTCTCTGGTGTAAAAAAATGCTCAGATCCCTCCAGCGAACGCTGAATGAGTTGAAGGACTATCAAAAGCAGCATGACCACTACCTGAGGCAGCAGGAGATCCTGGAAAAACACAAGCTCATTCAGGAGGAGCAGATCTTGAGAAATATCATCCATGAGACACAGATGGCAAAAGAGGCACAATTAGGTAAGTATTGGCTCCAGATGACTGAAGACAGGTTAGGAAATTCACTTCTAGCATGCTTTCCTCTTTCACAGCCTTCGCGTAGCCATAAAGCAGTAGAAAGTTGTGCGTGTGGCTTTCCTCAATCTTAAAATCAAGAGCCATCACAGCAGATATACCAGCAGGCCTGGGGAGCTGGTTTGGTCCCTCTAGCTTTTTTTAGTTGACATTTTAAAGGAAAAAACAAGTCTTTTAGATCCTAGGAGTCTAGCAACCATTGTTTGCCCTCTATTGCTTCGATAGGCGTGTCTGTCTCCTGCAGATCTTGTTACCGTCCAGATTCAGATTCAGTACTTCTCAGGGGCGCCTGAGATTCTGTATTTCTAGCAAGTTCCCATTTGATGCCTGTTGCTGCTGGTGTGAAAACACACTGTGAGTGACACGGCCCTACACCAAGTAAACACAAGCCGTCAGACACACCCTAGAGCCAAAGCATCCACACTCTTCAGCCAACACTGGCAACAAGGCTAAAATTCCTTTTTGTCTAGCTCCCTTAAGAACCAGTGTTTTATTTTAGAACTGAGATTTTAGACTAAAATTTATCTCAAGCAGAAACTCTTAACCTGGATCAACAGATTAGTTTCGGGGGGTTCTGAAATCATCCCCACAATTATATGGAGAATTTTGTGTGTATACAGTTTTTTTCTGGGAAGAAGATATATATATTAAAATTAAAATATATGGCTCTATTAAAATCTCATAGAGTATATGACCCAAAAATAGAACCACTGATCTGAGGGAACTTGGGCTGACAGAAGATCCGTCATTGAGTGTATCCAGAATGTTTCGTTTCTGATTAAACCCTAAGGGAACAGATCTGACAGCTTGACATCAAAGAATAAATTAATAGAATCCCTTATTTACAGCCTTTTCCCTTGAGAAATATACTGGTCTGGAAGGCCTCTTAACCTCTGAACCTGAACCATTTACAGTGCATTTTATAATCCACCTCGCAAGTTTTCTTTGCTATTTTGAATGTAAAGAGTTATGTTCAGTCCTTGCGATTATTTACTGCTCAGTCTTTACTGAAATGCACCCAGAGCTCTTGTATATAAATCTGAAACAGACTTACCAAGTCTATAAAATAAATTTTCTCCAGGGAGATGGCCGAAGTCTCTTAAAACAATGTAATCGGTAGATTTTATAATCATAGAATGCAATTCCCAGAAGATACCTCAGTGATTATCTGGTGGAGCTTCTTTGTTTTATAGATGGAGAAACCAAGGCTTCTTTTGAATGATTTAATTTAATTAGCCATTAATGAGTGTTCTCTGTGTAAGTATGCTGCCAAGCTCTGAGGAATACAGGGTTGAAACTAAATGAAACTAAGAAAATCATTTTGGCATTGCTGATCTTTCTTATCAGAATTTCCTTTCCTGCTCCAGGAAATCATCAGATATGCCGTCTGGTCAACCAGCAGCATAGTTTACATTGCCAGTGGGACCAACCTGTGCGCTACCATCGTGGAGATATCTTTGAAAATGTGGACTATGTTCAGGTCTTTTTCTTGATTCTTTTAGTTTTTATAAAGTTTTGCATATCTAAGAGTAATATCGCTTTTCCCCCCTTGATTCCTTGTATATTTGATCCCTAAAATTTGTGACTATAATTGAAGGTTTCGAGTATCTGTTATGTTTATGAAGTCAGCTTTTACAGAGAGTACTCAGTTACTCCATAAATAACATTTCTATTTGCCAAAGAATATTCATCATATTCATTCCTTTTTCTCATGTCTTTCCTACCCCACCCCAGTTCCATTCTCTTGTTTAACAGGGTTTCAGAAATACACAAGAACTGTGGTATCTTGTGAAAATATCTCACAATGTTTTACCTTGGTTTGGAGGAAGGCTGTAGATATTTGAAATTGATTGTACAATAGCGTATAATGCCTAAATGATAGCTAGATAAACTCTGAAGAATGCTTCTTGAGTTCCCCTGTTTCTACCCACTGCAAACTCGTAGAGTAGTGATCATTTTAGTCTAAGTAGGGGAGGGGAATAATGAGCCAAACCTCTGAATCAGCTGAACATTAAACCTAGGAGACTAAGTCATAGAAAGGAATTAAAGGGACAGGAAAACAATCCATGCCGTTTCTCTTACTCCAATGGCATAGTTGATTGAAGTTGCTAACTATACATTATTATCTGTGAGAGAATACTGTTGGGCATAGTTCTGAAAATTAAGGTCTGATTGTTTTAATACTGACCTACTTCCTGATTTCCTACTAATTCTGAGTAGCCACTAATGTTTTGGGGTTAAGTCTTAGTCACAACTCCTTTTCCACTTCCAGTTTGATTGAACTTTTCTTTTCACTTTCTAGTTTGGTGAGGATTCATCAACGTCCAGTATGATGTCTGTGAACTTTGATGTTCAGGCAAATCAGAGCGATATCAGTGATTTGGTCAAGTCTTCTCCTGTAGCCCATTCTATCCTCTGGATCTGGGGCCGGGACTCTGATGCGTATAGGGTAAGTTCACAGAGGATGAAGGAGCTTTCTCAAACAGACAAGATCTCTTAAAGCAGTGAATGGCCCTCAACCTCACTGATTAACGTGGTCCCTGTCACTGTTCAGCTTAGTTCAGCAAAGACTTACTAAACTTCTGTTAGATGGAAGGTATTCTGCTAGGTGGTAGATAAGTACGACGCAGGATCTGCCTTGAGTTCTTCTTCCCAATCAAGTGGGGCACCTAGACACCCTATCAAATTCAAATTTGAGCTCTAATTTTAATTCAAAGCTTTGAGCTCTAAGTATAATTACCAACCGCGACAAGTTTCTAACCTTGACGTAAGTGTATGCTTGTATGTACTTCACTCATTTAATCAGCATTCTTTTACTGAACTTCCAGTGTGTACCAGGCTGGTACTATGAATATAATATGCAAGCTCTTGCTCTGCTGGAGCTTGCATTCTAAAGGAGGGTGCAGATAATAAACAAGCTAATGAGTATGTATTTCTAAGCTAGCTAAGAAATAATTGTATGTTGGCCATGGGAATATCAAGGTATAAGGATCGAGACCTTGTATTTTTTATTCACCGTTAAATTTTCAGAATTTAACTGAGTTTTATTCTAACAGAATTAATACAGCCACTTAGATTTAATTATATTCCTCAAAATTTGATAGCTTCAGTATATAAGTTTAGTAAGCCTCTGTACATATTATTTATCCTTAGAAAAGTGAACATTTTACAAATCGAAAAACAATTTTTAAATGCTGGCATTGACAAAGCAAAGGCCTTAGTTCGGAGAAAGATAGGTTCATTTAGCATGTTGAAATCTTAAATCCAAAGAAATTTGTGAGAAACTTTCTTTCTTTGTTAGGACAAACAGCATATTCTGTGGCCTAAGAGAGCAGACTGTGCCGAAAGCTATCCCAGAGTCCCTGTTGGTGGGGAATTACCAACGTATTTCCTGCCTCCGGAGAACAAAGGACTCAGGCAAGTGCTGATGGATTTGGCAAAGCACTTGATTCTGCATGGTTGTCATCTGGCGGTTCTTTGAGAGCACCAGCCTTGGACTTGGAAGGTTAAGTCTTTATCTTGAAGTCGCCCAAACTTTGAAAATGTGAATCTTGTTCCTTTTTCTTGTGCCAGGATCCACGAACTCAACAGTGACGATTATTCTTCAGAAGAAGAGGTCCAAACCCCTGACTGTTCCATAACTGACTTCAGAAAAAGCCAGACTCTGTCCTACTTAGTCAAAGAATTAGAGGTCCGCATGGATCTGAAAGCCAAAATGCCAGATGACCATGCACGCAAAGTAAGGCTCACGTGGGCTGGTGTGTATTGCCGTCCGTTCTGGGTGACTTCACAAGCCTCTTAGGAGGAATACAAATTTGATAGAAGGCAGTTGTTGCGCTTTAAGTTTATAAGACTGAAGGATAGAGTTAAAGAATTGGTGAGATCACTAAGAAGTCAGTCATGCCAGTGAAGGAGTGCCAGGACAGTGTTCCTCAGGGCTGCTGTTTACATGGACCACCTAAGCCCTGTTCCTCTAAGAGGGCTACAGAGATGAGTCAGCAGAACTCTGTTTACCTAACCGAGGCCCTTCTGACCACTTCAATTTAGCTTTGTATCCTCCAAGCCTCTAGAAGTTTGAAAACTTGAAGATTCTCTTTCCCTGGCTTTATCAACCCTGACTTGGCCTTATATGAGGTCCTCAGGAATTTATATGAATTTGATAACCACTTTGCAAACATTATAAATAAGTTCTGTTACGCTGTTTTAATTCCTGTTAGTTGTGTACAACTAGGAATGTTTTATTATTGAGTATAAATGGTATGTTAGATACCTTTCCATAGATACTAATGAAAACCTTACCTTTTCACAGAGGAAACAGACCATCACAATGACCTTTTTAAAAATAATTTTAAAACTACGAACAGTTACTACTTACATTCAACATTTACTGGGGCAAAATACATGTTCCAGGCAGTTTGGAGTGCTAGGAATATAAAGATAATAGACCGTGAGCCCTACCTTAGAGTCGCTCACAGTTACACAGATGCCGCAAGAACATGAAGTAGATTGAAAGTCTGGTGCTCTTCCAACTAGGAAAGATAGATTTTTATTGCATCACGTATTGCATGCTGTTGTCTTCTGAATAATTTCTCATTGGGTTCTGGACACTTAGGTTGACTTTAATGGGGTATGGTAGATCACTTTAATACACGTATGGGATATATGTCTTTTTAACTTTCTTGTTGTTGTTAAAAGAACCTAGGGCACACATGTGAACAGGTCGACACCTGCAGGTATGCCGATGACCTCATGTTATTTGTATGATTATAAATATCTATTCAAATTAGCTGTTCCCAAGGAGCTCAAGTAAAAACTGCTATCTGTAGAAATTCTTTTCAAATGTCTTCCCTGTTATTTTCAATTGAGTCAATCTTCCTTTTGATGTTTTCAGATTTTGCTTTCCCGTATTAATAACTATACTATCCCAGAAGAAGAAATTGGGTCTTTCTTATTTCATGCCATTAATAAGGTGAGTCACCTACTTCAGACATCGAAAATTTAGAGGCTTGGTAATTGTAATTAAAAGTTACAATGCATGTATTAAAACCCTTTTTAGAACAAGTACTGTGTTCTTGTATTAACTGAAGTGTTTGGGGGTTTTTCAGCCAAATGCTCCCGTCTGGCTGATCCTCAATGAAGCTGGACTCTACTGGAGAGCAGTGGGAAACAGCACGTTTGCCATCGCGTGTCTTCAGAGGGCCTTGAACCTGGCTCCCCTCCAGTACCAGGACGTTCCTCTCGTGAACTTGGCCAACCTTTTGATTCACTATGGCCTTCATCTTGATGCCACTAAGCTGCTCCTTCAAGCTTTGGCCATCAATAGCTCTGAGGTGAGGCTTTATATTTCTTTGCAGCTACATGTACTGTGTGGGGGTAACTCAAATTCAGAGTCCAATTTGTATTTCTCTCGGGAGGGCATAAAAAAATCTCGTGTTTTGTTTTTCAGAGCAAATTTGCATATTTTGAGAGGGCATAAAACAGATTTTATTTTTTGATGTGTTTATTTCTTTATTTTAAATGAGTGCAATTTATAATTATACCATTAATTTTTTTTTAGAAACTTACATTTAAATAAGAATGCTAAAAATGTACTGCCATTTTTTTATGTCAGTCTGAAACATCTGGTTCTTTATCCTACTCATCACAGCGTGCATGCTGCTTAGGATTATACTGATTTACAGCTTTAATTTATAGCTGCCTTTATACCAACCAAGCCAGAGCACAGTTGAGAGGTTGTTTTGGTAAGGATGGGTAGGTGGATTGATATTCCTGCTGAACCGCCCGCACGCGGGCCGTAGAATTCTATCACTCTAGGTAGTTCTTTACTCTGTTTCATAGTTTCAAAGATACCACTTCTTTTTTTCATATTTTAGCATTTCTGAAATAAGGATGCATGTTATAATTGATGACATCATAGGTTTGGTGAAATACAGTTATAATAAATACACAATTAAATTGCATTTATACCTAGTGTGTAAATGTTTATGTTTTACATCCAAAGAAAATTTTAGAAGCAGTGTGCATGAATGGTTTAGGCTTATTTGAGGTATCCCGGAACTGAACTTCATTAAAATTAAGAATTTCTGTTTATCAAAAGATACCATTAAGAGAGTAAAAGGCAAACCACAGACTGGGAAAAGGTATTTACAATAAATATTTCCAACAATGGACTCCTATCTAGTATATTGATATAAAGAACTCCTTCAAATCAATAAGAAAAAGACAACCCTTTTTTTTAATGGGGAAAACAGCAGGCACTTCAGAAATGAGGACATCCAAATGGCTGGTAAGCCCATGAGGAGATATTCAACATCATTACTAATCAAGGAAATGCAAATTAAAACCACAGTGACATGCCACTTCAGCATCTCACTAAAACAGATATATGACTGACAATACCAAGTCAGTGAATTCTCATACTTGCTGGTAGGAGTGTAAATTTGTACATCCACTTTGGAAAACTATTTGTTGTATCTCCTAAAACTAAGTGTATGCCTACCTTAAGACCTGCTAAGTATATACCCAAGGAAAGTGAGTACGTATGTCTGTCAAAAGACATTTACAAGAATGTTCATTGTAGCTTTATTGGTAATAGCCAAAAAGTGGAAACAGTCCAAATGCCTATCCGTAGGAGAATGCATGAACAAACTCTAGTATATGCACATGATGGAACATTACACATCGATTTTTTTAAAAAAATGAAGTGCTGGAGGCCAGCCCAGTGGCACAGCAGTTAAGTTCGCACGTTCCACTTCGGCAGCTGGGGGTTCGCCACTTCGGATCCTGGGTGCAGACATGGCACTGCTTGTCAAGCCATGCTGTGGCAGGATCCCACACATAAAATAGAGGAAGATGGGCACGGATGTTAGCTCAGGGCCAGTCTTCCTCAGCAAAAAGAGGAGGATTGGCAGCAGATGTTAGCTCAGGGCTAATCTTCCTCAAAAAAATAAAAAGTAAAAATGAACTACTGATACACAAAAAACATTCAGTTTCTAGGGGCTGGCCCCGTGGCCTAGTGGTTAAGTTCGCGCGCTCCGCTGCAGGCAGCCCAGTGTTTCGTTAGTTCGAATCCTGGGCGCGGACATGGCACTGCTCATCAGACCACGCTGAGGCAGCGTCCCACATGCCACAACTAGGAGAACCCACAACGAAGAATACACAACTATGTACTGGGGGGCTTTGGGGAGAAAAAGGAAAAAATAAAATCTTTAAAAAAAAAAAAACATTCAGTTTCTTGAATTTTGGGTATTATGTTGAGTGAAAGAAGCTACAAGAGGGTACACATTATTTATACACAGAAGAGAACATGCTGTTTGATTCCATTTATATGAGATTCAAGAACAGGCAAAGCTAATCTATGGTGATAGAAGTCACAACATGACAACAGTGGTTACCGCTAAGACGGGGGTTGGGTTGCTCAGGGGAACCTCTTGAGGTACTGGAAACATTCTAGATGTTTTATATTTCAACCGAGTGATGGTTACAAGGATATATACATATATAAAAATTCACTGAGCTGTACGCTTAAAACTAGTGTACATTACACACTTTATGTACTTTTTATCTTAGTAAAAAAGTGAAAAATAAATTTATATTTATGTTATACAGTTTAGAATTGCCTGATGTAAATAGAATGGACAGTTAGCCATTAACTTTTATGGGGTAATCTGAAAAAAACCAAAAAAACATACTGTAAAGGTTTTGTAACTCTCAGAAAATATTAACTCATTAACATTTTCCTGATTTTTTTTTTCTTTTCAGCCCCTGACCTTTCTGAGCCTGGGAAATGCTTACCTTGCTCTGAAGAATCTCAGTGGGGCGCTCGAAGCCTTCAGACAGGCTTTGAAATTAACCACCAAATGCCCAGAGTGTGAAAACAGCCTGAAGTTGATCCGCTGCATGCAGTTTTACCCTTTTCTGTACAACGTCACCTCTTCCATTTGCAGTGGTAAGCAGCAGTTACATGCTGGCGACATAATGGGCTCAACCAGGGTTCCTCTTGTGATCAACAGAACACGGAAAATGATTTTCTCAGTTTCTCGCCAGGATTTTGCATAGCTATTTCTAGCTACATAAGAAAGCAGTTAATTCATCACTTATTAATTAGATGCCTCAGGGTAGTAGGCTTAGTTCTCTGCCAGAACCCGAGTTGAAAAAGGCTGACTAAAGTATAATCGACTGGGATTGATAGGCTGTGAGATTTTTTTTTCTCTCCCCAAAATCTCTGATGTTTTATGATGACTGATATTAACAGTGAAGGATATTTTTTCTGTCTGTGAACTCAAACTGTGATGAGGTTCGAAGCCGTTTTTCTGTCCTCGTGTACTGAAATACACCCCGTGGCCTTTCAGTGAAGGTGATCCAGACCTTTCCACCTTTAAAATACTTGTCTGACATTAAGTGGTATCTGTCTGCATTCTTCCACTTTCTGCCACAGCCACCAGTATAGACACCTGTGCATAAGTGTGTCCACTTGAGTCAAAAAATATTTGCGTTAATATCTAAACTGTTCTAAATTCATCAGTTAGAACTCTCTTTGTAAGAGTTCCACGGTGTTTGGTCATTGACTTGTTTAACCTTCACTAGAAAGAAAGGAAAACGGATTTGACTTGAATTATGAAAGGTGTGGTTTACATATGTGTGGATCCTCAGTCCCAGTAGAGCAAACAGTAGCTGCTCTGTTAATGTTCAAGTGAGATTGCAATATTCAAGCAGAGGGCCATCAGTCCAGCTCCTTCACTTCAGGTGTTTAAAAAAAAAACAAAAACAGACACGCACTTGGTTAAGTGACTTGTGTAATAGACATCAATAATTACTAGTAGATTTGGTACCCAAAATTGATTTTCCTGATTCACCATACAGGCATACTTCATTGTATTGCTCTTTGCAAATACTACATTTTTACAGATTGAAGGTTTGTAACAACCCTGTGTCAAGCAAGTCTATCAGCAACCTTTTTGAACATTTGCTTACTTTGTGTCTCTGTGGCACATTTTGATAATTCTCACAATATTCCAAACCTTTTCATTATTATTATGTTTTTTATGGTGATCTATGATCAGTGATCTTTGATGTTACTATTATAATTGTTTTGGGGTGCCACAAACTGCACCAAAGTAAGACTGTGAACTTAATTGATAAATGCTGTTTGTGTTCTGACTCCACCGACTGTCCATTCCTCAGTTTCTCTCCCTCTCCTCACACATCCATATCCCCTGAGACACAGCAATGTTGAAGTTAGGCTGATTAATAACCCTACAATGGCCTCTAAGTGTTCAAGTGAAAGGAAGAGTCGCACATCTCTCGCTTTAAATCAAAAGCTAGAAATGTCTAAAGCATGTGCATGTCGAAAACTGGGACAGGCTGAAAGCTAGACCTCTTGTGCCAAACGGTTAGCCAAGTTGTGAATGCACAGGAAAAGTTCTTGAAGGAAATTAAAAGTGCTACTCCACTGAACACACGAATGACAGGAAAGTGAAACAGCCTTATTGCTGATATGGAGAAAGTTTTAGTGGTCTGGATGGAAGATCAAACCAGCCACAACATTCCCTTAAAGCAAAGCCTAATCCAGAGCAAGGTCCTAACTCTCTTCAATTCCACAAAGGCAGAGAGGGGAGGAAGCTGCAGAGGAAAAGCTTGAAGCTAGCAGAGGTTGGCTCATGAGGTTTAAGGAAAGAAGCCATCTCCATAACAGAAAAGTGCACGGTGAAGCAGCAGGTGCTGAGGCAGAAGCTGCAGCAAGTTCTCCAGAAGATGTAGCTGAGATCATTGATGAGAGTGACTACACTAAGCAACAGATTTTCAGTGTAGATGGAACAGCCTTCTATTGGAAGAAGATGCCACCTAGTACTTTCATAGCTAGAGAGGAGAAGTCCTTGCCTGGCTTCAAAGCTTCAGAGGACAGGCTGGCTCTCTTGCTAGGGGCTGATGCAGCTGATGACCTTAAGTTGAAGCCAGTGCTCATTTACCCTTCCAAAAATCCTAAGGCCCTAAGAATTATGCTAAATTTACTTTGCCTGTGCTCTATAAATGGAACAACAAAGCCTGGATGACAGCACATCTCGTTACAACCTGGTTTACTGAATCTTCAAGCCCGCTGTTGAGACCTACTGAGAAAAGAAGATTCCTTTCGAAATATTGCTGCTCATTGACAATGCACCTGGTCACCCAAGAGCTCTGATGGAGCTGTGCTGTGAGATGAATGTTGTTTTCATGCCTGCTGACACAACACCCTTTCTGCAGCCCATGGATCAAGGAGTCATTTCGACTTTCAAGTCTTATTATTTAAGAAATACATTTTGTAAGGCTATACCTGCCATAGGTAGTGATCCTGCTGTTGAGTCTGGGCAAAGAAAATTGAAAACCTTCTGGAAAGGATTCACCATTCTAGATGCCATTAGAAACATTCATGATTCGTGGGAAGAGGTCAAAATATCAATATTAACGGGAGTTTGGAGGAAGTTGATTCCAGCCTTCATGGATGACTTTGAGGGGTTCAAGACTTCAGTGGAGGAAGTAACTGCAGATGTGGCGGAAACAGCAAAGGAACAAGAATTAGAAGAGCAGCCTGAAGATGTGACTGAATTGCTGCAGCCTCATGACAACTTTTAATGGATGAGCAAAGAGAGTGGTTTCTTGAGGTGGAATCCTGGTGAAGATGCTGTGAAGACTGTTGAAATGACAATAAAGGATTTAGAATATTATATAAACTTAGTTGATGAAGCAGTGGCAGGGCTTGAGAAGATTGGCTCCAATTTTGAAAGAAGCTCTGCTATGGGTAAAATGCTATCGAACAGCATCGCATTCTAGAGAGAAGTTGTTCATGAAAAGAAGAGTCAATTGACGTGGCAAACTTTGCTGTTGTCTTATTTTAAGAAAGTGCCACAGGGGCTGGCTCCGTGGCCGAGTGGTTAAGTTCGCGCACTCCGCTGCAGGCGGCCCAGTGTTTCATGGTTCAAATCCTGGGCGCGGACATGGCACTGCTCCTCAAACCACACTGAGGCAGCGTCCCACATGCCACAACTAGAAGGACCCACAACAAAGAATATACAACTAGGTACCAGGGGGCTTTGGGGAGAAAAAGGAAAAAAAATAAAATCTTTAAAAATAAAAAATAAAGTGCCACAGCCACCCCAACCTTCAGCAACCACCACCCTCCGAAGACTCAGATGATGGTTAGCATTTTTGAGCAATAAAATACTTTTTAGTTAAGGTATGTACATTATTTTTTTAGACATAATGCTATTGCACACTTAATAGACTACAATATATTGTAAACATAACTTTTATATGCACTGAGAAACCAAAAAATTTATGTGACTTGCTTTATTGTGATTTCACTTTGTTGCAATACTTGCTTTTTCGTGGTGGTCTGGAACCAAACCCTCAGTTTCTCCGAGGTATGCCTGTGCTAGACTGCCTTAGGATTTTAGTGAAATGACAGGCAGTAAGTAGTGTTTATATTTTTTAAATATCAGAGCCCGCTTTTTTGGTGAAGAAACCAAAAACTTCTCAGCAGCGTAACTCTGTAACTCAGTTGTGGATCAGTGTTGAACTCAGTCTAGACTAGAGTTCTTACGTGAATGCTCAAGACCCAAGACAGCGTTTTAGCAAGGCAATAAAACAGAGTGGCTACTGCGAGAGCCAGACAGATTCGTGTGTGAGCCCCAGCTCTGCCATTGTTGTCTTTCTGATCCCACTAAAGCAACTTGTGTCCTTGTGTATGAAATGAAAGATAATAAAATCGATCCCATGTACTATTAGGGAAGGCTAAATGAGAACCTTATCACAGAATAGGTGTTGAGTAAAAGTAAGCCATTACAAATTCATAATGAATACAAAATACTTAGAACTTTAAAGGTGTAAAGTATAGATCTTTATCTTCTTACTTATCCTAGAAAATATCTTGTGGTCTTTTAAATTTTGTGGGAGACCTAAGGACAGCCTTGTAAACAGGATTTCACTTTTTTCAGTGAGTTGTCTATATTAATAGAATCTCTTATTTTCTTTCTTTACTGTCATTGCCCTCACCTCTCTTGATTTCTTTCTGTTATTAGGAAGAAGGATTTTGTGTGTATATAGTGACCCTTTTCTAAAAAGCCTTTTCCTTAGCATTAGTTTTACATGCTCTTGCTTAGTATTTCAGTTTTCTGAAATTTATTCTCATTTTGTGTCACCCATGTCAAGAGGAGATTCGGTTATCTTGAGCTTTTTCCCCAGAGCATCACTTCAACTAGCCCAGGAAGCTAATAACTTGAAACAGATCTTTCTCAAAGTCATAGTATCTGATAGTTTAGATTATCTCAAGGATATTATTGGATCCGATACACTAGCAATAAAAGAAAGTAATTTGATTTGAGAAGAGGGAATACATTTTTAGTTTTTTCAAAGACAGCTCATTTATAAAAAATTTTTTAAAAACATTTAGACCTCTTATATTGTAACTAACTAGTTACAATAATCCAACATCTGCTAACTCCTAAATAAATACTGGTACCCCTAATGGAAATGTATGCTATAGCATTTTCTAGGTTTAAAAACTCATTGATGGTACTGAACTAATTTCAATATTGAATTTTTCTTTGACAGTGTTTTTGCATTACTTGTTTCCAAAGTAATCCTGTTCATTCATAGTTGTTTGCTCAGTTCCAGCTTTGAAAAGCTGAAACTTGAAAGAAGCAAACACAGACTATAGAAACCATGAACTTCTTGTATTTGACACCCTTAATGGTTGCATCTCCTTCAGTTATCTCTGGGCTTTACTAAATAGTTGATGAAAAGAAAGACAAAAGCCTATCAATAATGATTAGCAATTTCTGTACCTTCAGATGATTTTCTCTGCCTTTTGCTTTTTCATTTTTGCTTATTGAATAAGATTCGTAAGTTATCTTACTTGTCTGACACATTATCTGTCTAAAGTTTTTGTTAAGACAGTACAAAGCTTTCAAG